CAAACGAGTAATACACAATCCCTTCCATAAACGGGACTGGTTTTGTCAGAGTAGGTTAATGGTTGGACTTGAAGCGGTTTTGTCAGGGTAGGTTAACGGTTGGACTTGATGAACTTAAAGGTCCCTTCCAACCTCAGCAACTCTATGATTCTACGACTGAAGACAAAGAACCAGAAAAGAGTACTTAGGCATAAGCAAACTAGTTACTTCTGTCAGGAAACTGAACAGGCAAACACCATTGTCTGAGTAACAACACGAAAAGAATTTCTAGTGTCGCAGAAACTCATTTTTATCAAAACCTTAACAGCAGATAGACCATACCTAATCTCTTTGTTGATTGCATCCAACTGTTCTTGAAGCATCATGGCCAAAGTCTGAGCATCAGCCTGACCGCTTGGTGACAGCAGATCAACTGAACTGAATATAGTCTCCCTATCATCCTCAACATCAGACACATCGACATCACTTTCAAATGCTTGTGCCACATTTGCCAGTACACTTGCTTGCTGGGCTCGCTCCCAGTCCTGCTCATTCAGAGTTTGAACCTAAGAGAATTAATTAAAAAAAAAAATAAAACCAAACTCAAATGGGAAAAACATGACATTTCTACTGTTTTTCAAGATGTTTAAAATAATTTTTAAAAAGCCCATTTACATGCTGAATGCATCCATCAAGACAGCAATGTTTAGAGAAATGTAAAAAAAAAAAAGCTATAATGTGGCAAACTTTGCATCTTACAGTTAAGCAAAATTTTAAAATGGACAGCCCTATTGAATAAATTAAAACATCACATATCTTGACTATATACACTCTAAATTACAGTAGCATTCTGCTATCACATCCAGTGAGAATTCTGGAATCAGATTTATGCAATGATACCTTACGTGTCCTGAAAGGCACTTTAAAGTGTTTGCAGAAGAGTAACACGTTAGATTAGTGTATAGACGCAAAAGTAGGACTATTTCAAATTATATTTTACAGCCTTATCATAGTTAATAGAAATGGGACTTCAAAATAATATTTTTGCAATTATTTGTTAACAATTAAAAAGACTAGCAGCTGTGCATTAGTTAGTTAAACAGGATATATATGAGTTTATGGCTATGTACTCCTCTTCTAAAAACTCCTTGCGATAGATTAGCCTCATCTAATCTACTTTGTTGCCAAAGTTTTATTTTTATTTTAATTTCAGAGTTCTATTACCTTTGAGGGTTCATCTCTGAGAGCTGCCAAACGTCCTTTCTGGGGACGCCTTAACACTGATGAGGTGCCATAGGAGTCTGTATGAGTGTCAGCCACAGACGAAGGGTATCTGAAATCTGGTCGGCTAGAACACAACAAAACATTTTATCCTTCAGAAGGTAGGGGAAGGGGGAAACAAACAAAAAAACCCCACCCAAATGATTCCTATTGTCCCACCAGTGCCATTTTTTTTAAAGCAGCACAAAAACTGCTTTATATGCTCTATAAAGAATAAATAGCTATAAAGTTTTATGGCTATGAACTAAAGTATTTTCAGTTATAACAGACAATTAAATTTAGCAAAGTGACTTTAAAGAAACTCGAAAAAACTGAACTACCAATTAAGTGCCGGTACCTATGGTGAAGTGATGTAGCTCTGAGTCTCACTTGGTCATTTTCAGCTCTTAATGCTTCAACATTTAATACAAGCTGATCCTGTAAAAATAAATAGATAAAATACATAACAATAACCTTAAAAAAAAAAATCAGTGTCAAATACTGACTTATAAATTAACATTTAGGTTTTTGACCTCGTTTCTAAAAAATTCAGAAGTAACAGATTTTAAAATATATCCTTCAGTGACCTAAAACATAAAAATGTTTTTTGCTGCACAAAATACAGCACCATCACAAAAGGGCATCCAAGAATAATTCTCTTGCCTCTCTACACTGTGACTCTAGGTAATGACAATATATATTTTAAAACCAGCTACTAAATAAAATTCACATATTACTAACATTACTATAATTAAGTATTTAATAAGCAACAAGAAGATTTTTCAAGCTTTGCGTGCAAAAGGTTCTAAATGCATTCACTTTTAACTTGGACATTTTCACATGCTCTAGAAACAGAATTTAACAACAGAGAAATCCAGTGAATGAGAAAACAAAAAAAGACTAATAAAAAGTGGCTGATGATGAACATCTGTGCCTTGTGTGAAAACTGCTGGCCTACACATACAAAAATTCAAAGCACATTCTGCAAAATATTCTGAATGCGTTCTTCATTTTATTACAGAAGCACAGCCTCTACAGTTTGGCCTGGCTACCTACTAGAATGATTTGGGGAGCTGCACTACACCTGTGACTTAATAAGCAATAACAAGTATTATTTCAGAACAGATAGCATGACCACAAAATAAATTGCCACTGCTTAAGGATGCAAAGAAACAAAAGGCCCCACCACTAATATTCAAGAAGGGAACTTGTCAGTTGCAGGACAAGCAAAACACCAGACAGCTGGTATTGCAAAGAAGCAGCCAAGTCTAATAAATATTGCTCTCCCTGCCTCACAATCCTTAAAACTTAAAAATTTGTCACTGGAAGAAGCATTTCATGACACTGAATGCTTTAAAGAAAACGCCTATGGGAAAATAGCCAACATTAAAAGTATTTCTCTTTTCTTCTTTTTTGTTCAAGGTCATACGTACAACAGTATAAAAATTCCATGCAATCTTCAAACTTTGGCAAATTGCCAGTATATCCAGCCACTTTACATATTCAGAAGTGTGTTGTCTTTGAGTAAAAGGCTATGCATTACCTATAAAATCATCATAAAACTGAGGCACACAATACCATAAAAAGAGCAGTAACAGCCCCCTACTTTTAAACAGACCAGGTAATGTTAAGTTTTACAGGGGGATTCAGATCTGCTATGTAGCAATGCAGCAATTATTTTCCAATAAAATATTTCAAAAAATGTGTATTATACCTTTTCATGCTGAAGTTCCTCTATTTGTTTTTTTGAATTTTCAATTTCTCGAAGAAGTGAATTCTAAAATAAAAAGTATCACAGATTAAGTTACTTATAAAAGTTTTCAACTCTTAAACCATAACCAAGATGAGTATCAAAAAGTTTCAGCCAACACTACACAGATGCACCTTAAGTTACAGACACTTTATTGCTTACATCATTTCACTTTGATTATAGTTGAAGGTTTTTCCTTTCAGGTGTACAGCCCTCTAAATAATGGATTTAGAAATAGTAAAAGTTCCATAAAAATTTAATACCAACACCAGCCTTTTAAAGCTCTGTTTAACAAAACTTGCAAAAAAAGGAATAATTAGGCAGCTAAAAATAATTCAAAGTAATTCACTGAGTGGTTACTACGACATTACTGGCTGTTATGGTTAGGTTTTCATTTTATTTTCACTTGACTGACCTACAAAATTACTATACGGTAGGTTCCTGGAGGTAGTGTACCTCCAGGACTGCAACTCTCACTGACTTATGGGCCTTCATTAAGATCAGGGCTGTGTCTTTACAGTTATACCATGACTTCTAAACAACTCCAATAAATATAAACACTTATGACTACTACAGTCTCTTTACTCAAAGCAGTTTCCAAGTTCAGACTAAGAATCATCTGAGAATTCAGAAACATTTGAGAGCAACATCAACCAAAGAATTTAAACGATCGTATTTAACTGTAGTATGTGATACAAAGAAGAAAAATAAGCAGAGATTCCTCCTTCCAATACAAAACTTACAACTGTGTCAATTTCTTTTCCTTTTCCACCATTGCTAAACCCATTTCCTTGAAGTACGTAATACTATTATTTGCACCATAAACCTGTAATGAAGTTTCATATGTGAACAAATAAACCACTCTGGGGAAAAAAGCCCAAGCGATCAGAAAAAAGTCTGAAAATTTTACCTGAGTGTTTCTTCCCAACTTATCATAAAAGAATGGGCAGGAAGCCACAGCAAGAATACTTTTCTAGAAACTGTTACTCAGTGAAGGACAACTACATTTCTTTCTTTATTCACAAATGCAGTTAGGGTTTGGAGAGTAAAGGGTTAACCCTAAGACACCCCCCAGTATTCAAGCATATAAAAAAAAAAAAAAGTCAGATGTTTTTCAGAAACTGAAATTTATAAAGACTGTCAGAGCAACCTTGTTAATGTCATAACAAGGCCCATAACAAGAATTTCTGAAGTATTAGGAGCAGCTGGCGATCTTGAAAATAGTGATGTTAACTAAAAACCACAAGACAAAGTTTGCAGCCTGAGATGCCAGATGATAAGCACATTTATCATTAACTCAAAGGAGGACCTACATTTCTTCTGCACTACCTCTCAGCTCTGAGAGCGCAAAAACAGGGAACGGAATGAACTAAATATTTGTAACGATCTGAGGGGAGCACAGTCCTGGAATTCTGGAAAGACAATGTCAGATCCCTGACTGATGGTTTAGGGTTGAGAACTGAGTTGACATGTATGCAAGAAAAAGCAAACATTTATTAAAAGTCTGAATACATCATTATATATTGCAACTAAAATATTTTATTGTGATGACTTTAAAACAAAAGCCACTCAGCTTTTATTGAAGCACTTCCCCAGATGGTCATTTCACCCTCCAGTAAAATAAAGTATTTTTTTAATCTAAGAGAAAGCAATTCAAAGTCAGCATCAAGCAACGTGCTACTTCAGAAGACACTGCTTTGTTCAATGCAGAATAAGGGAATCTAACTTTAAGGCATGCATGGAAGAAAAGTCCATAAGGACCTAGATCCAGAAGAAGAAGGGAAAAAAACAGAGTAAAGTATGTTACAAGTTAGAAGATGACCTGAATACAGGGGAATACTCCCAAGATGTGCATTGACAACACAGGGAACAGCCCATTTACATTCATGGAACCTGTTTCAAAATGATCTACCGGGGAAGAAAATGCAAGATCGTTTCAAGTTGTAAGGATCCCACAGTGACTCAGGGTAACTGGCACAGACAAAAGGAGCAGGAAATAAAAGAAACTGAACTGAAAAAAGGTCAGATTTCTACTCCTAATTCTTTAGACTTCCTGTATTACACTGGATGAGCCTATTTATGCACTCCACATCAGTCAACTAGGAAAGGATAAAGCTTCTTAAAAGATGCCTTCTCAACACTGTAGTACAATGCCCAGGGGCAAACTCAAAAAAAAAAAAAAAAAAAAGAATTTGAAGAACATATTTTCCAAATCCGCACTGGAAAACGGCCTTAACAGAAATTAATAAGGATTTAATATTTATTTACTGAAATTACAGACATATTGCACAACACAGATGACTACAGAATGTTGAACATGTAGTTAACGTATATGCTGGAATGTGACTTGTTACCTTATCTTCCAAGGCGGCCATCCTTTCCTTGAGATGAAGCTGGAGCCTTTCATTAGATTCAGACAGCAGCTTATCAACAGTTTCTGACAAACGTTTATTATGCTCTTCGTTCATCTTCTCTCTCTGTCTAGCCTAAGATACATAAAAGCTACTGAAATAACTTAAAATTTACAATGTCTGTAACAATTTCCAGGTTGTAAAAACAGTAAGCTTTCTTTAATCCAAATGCATTTTCTTTAATAGAAATATTTTTTCCAAAGGAATAAGGAATACTGCATGTACCTCCATGGCTCTGTAAGGGAGTATAGGGGCACTCAAGACTTTAATAACTGTTCCAAGATCAGAGGCTTGAAAATATGAGCCTTACACATAAAGAAAAAGCAGATTTCAGAACCAGTTCCATTATTTATAGCTTAGGAACCAATTTTTTCATAGTCATTTAATTCAGCAAGTTTTTGATCTCTCTCTTAATCAGAAAGTATGGATAGCAATTAGGCATTTTCAAACATATTTTCAAACTTTCATTGGAGACTTCCAGCTTTTTCTTGAGATCTAAGGTTAGCCATAGTACAGTAGCTTGAACTATGAGTCAGCCTAACCTCTGGCTTAATTTTAGAGATAAGATATAAAAACAGCTTTGCTGAATGGTAGACAGCCACAAAGGGGATTAGATTCTTTCTTCCAACTTTGTATATTTGCCAAAAATATGCATGGTACCCTTTGTAGTTCTTGATTCTTTTCTTCTAGCTGTGCTTCCATCTGTCTCAGTCGCTCCTCTATATTGCCATGTCTCTCCTCAGCCTGTCAATTGGAAAACAAAATTAGAATTATTTTTTTTTTAAAAAAAAAAAGGTTTCAGAAGCATAGAAACATTGAAGCACAATAATATATCTAACATGCTTTGCGCAACTGCCATTTATGGTAATAGACAATGCAGAACAGATGCCTTTCTGTCACTAAAAGAACCTCCTAAGAGATTGTATGGTAAGTAACAGAACGATGAAGCCTCTCACCCCGAGTACCATGAATGAACTACTAATTGCAAATGAGCTTGCAAGAGCAGAAGTTCATTTGTATCCCCAAGAACTTAAAAAAAAAAAACACAAAAAAAAAACCTAAATGCATTTTCAGCTTTTCCTCACTAGCCTAGACAACATGATCCTTTGTTAGTAATCATGACAAAGCAGAAAGCAGCGAGCAGAAATAAGGACTAATACACAAATTCTACCTTCCTAAGCTTGGTGGTAAGTTCCAATACTTTAGCATCTTTAGCAGCAGAGTTCCCAGGAGACAAAAGGTCAGACTACAGAGCCAGTTAGGGACAGGAAAGATAACAGGGAAAGAAATGAAACTAAGGCTTTAAGAGAAACACAGACACACACTCTTGAAAAGGCTCATTTGTAGTTACCACATATAATTCTTCGGACTTCATTATTCCATTTGCAGCCTTCTAAAAATCTTAATATTAATGAGTACCACCTCTCTCCCCACATTCCTCACTTAGTTAACAGTGGGACAAATTTGGGGTTCTCCAGAAACAGTTATTGTTTTAGAAGACTTTATGCCTATTATTGAATTAATTTTAATAAAAAGCAACAAAACAATAACGCAGAGAGACATTTTCATAATGTAACAGAGCTAACAGAAAACCTGCTCAAGTTCAAAACAACAGAAATTTAAAGACGAAAAGTAAATCAGAGTGTATTCATAGATGTGAACAGAAAATGCAGATAGCAAGGAGAAACATCTTCTGAACTGGCTGGGCAAAAACTAGAAACACAATGTAACAAACCCAGCACTTAAGAACAGATTTCGTGTAGCACGACACCAACGGAGAAGAGAGTCTTAATGACACTGTCCAATTGACTCACCTTCGAAAGTGCTGCAACTCTCTGTGCCAGCTCAGCTTCCACCTCCGGCAAAGTTTCAGCTTTCCTCAAAGTCTGCTGCAGCTTTTGCTCAGCTAGTTCCAGTCGTTCTTGCAATTGCCTATTCTTGTCTTCGCTCTACACAGGATTATGATCATCAAATGTTTAGTGTTAAAATGATTATTAAATTTTCATCAAAGAAGGAGGTAAGGATACAGATTACTGCCTTTACTAGACCTATGGATAACAAACTGTCCAAAACTGGTTTCATAACCAAAGACGTGACATCCTCTCCTTCACTACACAAGAGAACTTTTTTCTCTACAAATTGCTTTCTGCAGGCAATTTTGTGTATTCTAAAAGCAACTCTATCAGCAAACAAACATAGCTACGGTATGGGAAGCAGCCTAGAACAAGTTGTGAATTTTCAATGTCAAGGCTGTGCTTTGAGTTACATCAAGGAAAAAATGCCTTCATATTTTAAACACTATGCATATTACCGCAAAGTGTATTTTTATTTGAAGTGCATACAACATCTTTTAAAAAACTGTATTAAAAGGGACTTCCCTGGTTGACTAAGAGTTGCCTGACTTCCTCTAGTTCAAAAGTGATTGGCTAAACAACCATTTCTGATTTTAAGTTGGACTACTTCATGTCAAGCGTATCTCAAATTTCCTCCCATTGTAAGGCAATGTTTACTTGTATTATAGGTCATAATAATCCCTACACACGACACAAATTTTAAAACTGTTTTAGCTTAGAATGAGTAGTTCTCACACATAAAACTAAAGATGCTTGGATACACATAACAACTTAAAAATACACAATTAACAGGGACAACAGCCCTGCTGCAGCATGATCAAGTGCACTAAAATGCTCAACATTATTTCCTCCCTCCCACAAACTGGCTCCTCTTCACTTCCAGGGTAAAGCTCTGTACAATACACTCCTCCACTTACTGAAAAACAATTGTCAACAGTAGCATGTTACAGATGATATTTACCTTCCTAAAAGCACAAGCTTTAGTACAGCACGAACATTAATTATTTCCATTATTTCTATGCTGAGCAAAATGTACTTTATCTTATTTCAAATTACAACCTGTCGATGCATGGAGTCTTTAGTGGCAATTTCATTTTCAAGTTTATCATTGAGGTCATGCACAGATGTAGCTTCACGTTGTGCAGCGAGGTAGCGTTTCTCAAGAGTTGTAATTCTCTCTTCCATGTCTTCCTTTTGGGCTATAGTCTACGCAAAAACAAGACAGAATTTAGAATATAAGGTATAATTATTTAGTGATCAAACTGCGGAGGAAACCCACAAACCAAAAATAATAATAAAAAAATTAAAAGCAGATAGACTTTGTTATTTCTCTCAGTAAAAAAAAATGAAGAAAGAATAGTCTCACTTAGGCTTACAAGTTCAATAACTTTTTTTTTTAATGGTGAATGCTTATAAAGATTTATTATATTACACCACAGAACTGCTACTTACCTTTACAATGGCACAAATACAGCAAATCTTTACTTTCTGGGGACGGTCAGAGAGTGTTCTTGCATTTAAGTAAGTTCCCTTTCTATTTAATAAGGATATAGTACACAGCAATATATATGGACCTTGGGGATTAGTGATTGATCAGTAACAGGAATTGTCAATCACACCCCTGAAATTAAAGTGATTCCTCAATCAACTTTAAAAATAAATAATTTAAACTTTATGAGTAAACTTAGCATTTACGACAAGATCAAGCATCTTTTCAAGAACACATTAAAGTTCACAATGCTAAACTTATAATGTAATATATTCGTAAAATATATAGTTATTCATAGATTAATTCTGAAGACAAATTTTCTTAAGCAACTCGTCTTTTAAACAAAAACTAGCACCACCATGCTTTAAACAATTATTTTCTCACCTATCAAACCAAAGACACTCAAATGCATAAAGGTCTAACTGAGCACCAATGACACTGAAATTTATAAAACAATAGCATTTGTGACTACCCAAATTTCCACAGTTTATTCCTCACCTCTCGTACATCTCTCTGTAACTTTGTATTCATTTCTTCAGATTTTATTAAGTCTTTTCTAGCTGTGTCAAGATCTTCTTCCAGCTCAGTTACTCTGCTAGACAAAGCTGTAAGACGTTCTTTCATTTGCGTCTGCTCTTTGTTTTGTTTATCTATGATGTCTTGGAGTTCAATCACTTTAGCAAGGTTTTCATCATGGCATAAAGAACCATCAGAGGATCGCTATTAAACAGGAAACAAACAAACAAAAGTATTTGCATGTTACACAGAAATTTGAAAAACAAACTGTTACTGACCTATAAACACCCTTCCCCAAAGATAATTATTGGATGGACTGTAAATGAAATTGTAGTAAGTGAGACTTTTTAATTAAAGCATCACCCAAAATCTTTTATCATAGTTTAAAATTAAAAATCAGACATCAGCTTCAAAAAGTGAATAGCTGTACCTTCCCATTTGTAGTTGGTGTATTTTCTTGCTCGTGATTTATATCCAGCATCCCATCTGGAAGTGTTTTCTTCTGATTATTTTGCTCTTTTAGAATCATTAACTAAAAGAAAAGAAAAAGTTTATATACATATGTTTCAAGTCAACTCCTTTCTCACTAATAATATAAGGAACAGCTGCAAAAGAAAAGGAGCAAAACAATTACTGATTCTACTGCAAGGTATGTATCAATAAAATATGGCACAGGCCCTCAAAAACTTATGCTACCACAACCCAAAAATTCTTACTTTCAAGCCACAGGAACTCTTTTTGCTGTTTTTTGGGGGGTTTGTTGGCTTGGCGGGGGGGTGCATGGGGTGGCCACAGGGTTGGGGTTTGTGGGGGGGTTTCTTCCACCTTTCCTGCTCTTTCAGAGTGACTAAAGTTAAAAATTACAGTTATCCCATTTGGCAAGAAATTAAAAACAAGAAGTGAAAGTGAACCTTAGTAACTGAATAAATTACTGTGTTCAAATATTGACTAGAACACCCACAATACACACGTGAAGACTTCTTTTAAAAGATACCTACCTCTTTATGGGTAGTACCTAGTTCTTCTTCCAATAAGCTACATCTTTCAAGTGCTACTCGTAACCTCTCCCTTACCTGAAAAGAGTAATTTCAAATAATTTGAAATCATTCAAATTAAAAAGAAATCAATTTCACTTATTGCCATGCTGCCATACCCTTTCAGATAGTAAATGACACTATTTGCATTACACTTAGAGACCGGCTTAGTCTTAAATACTAATTACAACAAAAAAACCTTTTAGACAAACAATGTGTATCTTAAAATCTAGCTGTGCCTTTTTTGTCATAAGCAAATCATATCTCAACACGACCTGTACACTTAGGCAAGAGTTAAACGTATCCAGAATTTGCCTATCCTTTTGTAAGGCACTGAGTGTGTATGCTTTTGCTTATTTACAACAAGGAAGAAGAGATGGAATTCCGCATAAAATAATTTGCCAGACATTACACACAAGGGTCACAACAGTTAAGCAAACTATGAGTTGGCAGCAAAATTCACAGTAAACTTCACCACTTGCATATCCTGTTGCCAACATCAGGCACAACTGAAGGGCACAGTTCCTTTAATTCAGCTTCATTTTATATCACAGGGTCAGCAGATTCCTCTCCTCCTGTTCTCTCTAGTCCATTTCTTGTACTACATAATCAAAAGGCTAAATCCTGATATTACACAGGTAAGTAAACGTATGCATTCCTACAACAAATATACTACCCCTGAACCATGCGTAAGTTACATTAGCACAGTTAATGAAGTACCAGAATAAACTACAGCACCTTGCTTTAGTGCAACATACTAATTTAGGAGGGCAGCAACTAATGCAGTTCTAGCAAAGCTACCATCTTAATACAGAGCAAAGTTCCAAGGACCTGACTTCTACAACTTTAGTACGAACAACTGCATGGTCGACACAAAAGAAAGAGGGCACAGGATGAGAAGATGTTAGCTATGATATTTCATTACCTTTTCGTCAAGGGCTTTATGGTGTTCAAATAAAGATTTTAGTGCTTTGAGAACTTCTACTTCACTGGAAACTCCTGCTGGAGACTGAGCTTGTCTCTTTACAACAGTCATTCTGAGAGATCGCTCATGCCTGGAGACAAGACACTCCAAATGTTCCAGTAACAGCTAAAACAAAAACAACAAAAAAAAGGAAGGATGTTTATTCCTGTTCTGCACAGCTGCAGAAAACTTTGCCTCCTAAACCACTGAGTTTTGAGTTCTCAACTTCAAATCTGAGCACAAATAACTATTGCATCAAGCATAAGGACCTGCTCTTAACATTTCACCTGTGCTAGAAGTGATACCAGAGCTATCGCATTTCCTACCTCTCTCTTTCAGTCTAGCTTTTAAATGACGTTTCTACTTAGTCGGACCTTTTCAGTTCTACCACCAATCTCGGGAACTGCACACTTGTCAGAAGGATACACATCGGAAATGCTCTAAACCGGAGAGCAACTCTTCTGCTGGCAGCAGCGTAAACTGCTGAGCATATCACTGCAGCTTACCCGCTCTATTCCACTGATCTCAGGTGTTGTATGATCACAAAACTTTAACAAGAAAGCTGAATGACAGATAGCAGTGCACTCTTACAAGCTTCCCCTGATTCTGCACAGCAGTATCTGGTGCTGCGCATAAGCTTCCAAACTTTAATTTACACACATTTGCACTTCCAGGGGGATTCATGTGCAAATATCAGGGAAAAAAATATTTTTAAGCTTTTCAAATTCAAAATTTAGTGTTTTTCTCGGTGTAGTTGGATGCTTTAACAGTGGTAAACTTGGAGAAGACAAGGAACTAACCCTTGTATTATTTCTTTCTGCTTTTAGTTCAGCAATTTCTTCTTCCCTTTCAAGCAGCTGCTCCCTGCATACATTTAGCTCTTTCGTAAGCGCTGCAAATTCCTGAAATAAACCAGACAGAAATATAAGCACATCAAATATCGGGATATAGTGAGAGAAGATTCATATGTACACTTGACATGATTTCTTGAAGTAGTCATTTCAGGTGCCTAAAGTCAGTACAGTTATATTAGTCACGCTACGCAGGCTTCAGTTCAAACACTTAAACCAGTAACACTTTCAAATGTAAAGATAAAAGCTGTTTGACCAGTACTTTTGAGAACTTATTTTCTCTAAAGGCAGGTATCTGAATTGGGGTATCCCTGGTAAGCAAAGGGAAAAACTTATTTGTAATGCACTTTGTTATTGTTTCAAAAAGTAGTTGTTTGGTTTTTTTAAATGACTGCTGAGGGAAACATGAAAAAACACAGCACTAAGCAAAAACAGAACCCAGCAAAACATGACAAATTTCAAGTCAGTATTTAATTGTGAGAGACAATCCCCTGGCATCTACCAGAACACACAGGTCACTTCTTCATGGCAACAGCCTATCCTTAAAGCTTCACCGCTGGAGGACTCAGACCTATATGGATATTTTTCTGTTTAAGCTACACACAGGGATTTAATTTATACCTACTTTCAAATCTCACAGAACGGAACAGAAACAGCCCTTTCCATATAGTCCTGCTAGAAATCTCAGGAGATTAGAATCAGAATTTTCTAGAAGCTGAGCCCTTGGGCTCAAAAGCCTCAAAACTGAACCACAGTGAAAACAGTACATAGAGTGAAAAGTCATCAGGGAACAGGAATTAAGCTAACCCACAGCAATTACTGCCTGTTTATTTTAACATTTTCGAATACTGAGATTAGTCAAATTTAAAGAATATATTTCTAAGTTCTGGAGTTTCTGTCAGGAAGACACGACTGTACTGAGTATCTGGAAGATCCACTACATCCTAAACTACCTCCACTCTATCAACAGCCTCACTAAAAATACTCAATATAGAAGGCATGCAAACTTTCTATCAACTCAGTGAGCATACTCTGGATAGAATAGAAGATACAACTACACACCATATTTATAAGCAAATATTAAGCCCAACCTTATCTACCTACCTACTCCGGCAAAATTTAAGGTGGACTTTGAACCACATTAGAAATGAAAGTCCATGCTTTAGAAGAGGCTTTGCAGGAAACAGGAAAAAAAAAACAAACAACAAAACAAAAACAACGCTGTTGTGCCATCAATGCAAGTTAGGATGCAAAAATAAATACACATCAGTCACTCCACTGGCCGGTGAACACTTCAGAAGCGCTTGTATAGGAAAACACTGAAATGCTAGTAAATAAATTAGTTTTCTCTATTGTCTAAAATAAGGAAAACACTCTAATAAACAAGAGTCAAGTCTAATAAACAGTAGATCAGTACAGCTGAACTGGTGATGATCAAGACTAGATGAACAAAAGGCCAACTAAGAACACACTGTGGAAACACACAGAGCACAAATGCTGCTTCTCTAAATTTTCCAAACCCTGCAAGATGTACTGCTTAACAGACAGTAGCTGTATATCAAGTAAAAGCTTAAGATGGAGCTGTTTTGCAGTAAAATTCAAAGTGACGGAAAACACATGGCTGAAAACAAAAGGACACATCAACTAATGATACTAGCACACCTGTAAATTCTGCCATGCAGCTACAATAAGCAGGCGTAGTAAAAAGATGCCGTCTGTAAATTCCAAGATAATTTTGGTAAACTTTATTCTAAAACATACGTGTGACTGAAAAGACAAAAAAAAAAAATACTGTTGCGCAACATGCACCTACAGTGAACTCCTTTGGAGTTACTAATGCATTAGGATTTTATAGGTTGCTGTGAAAAAGATAGTAATACCACAACCACAGAGGCAGAATCCATCTGCATAATCCCTCTTCCTAAATCAAACCTGCTCATTGGAAAAAAGATTCTGGATAGTCCCCCTACTTACTCAGCAAATGACTGCAAAAAAAAGCCTTAATTTCTTTCCCTTTTTTAATTGCTAAGAAAAAAATATTTAATTTATTTAACATACTTAATAATTATGCTCACATAAATACTTCACTGCAGTATTTCATTTGCGTCCTTAAAAAAAAAAAAAGACTTATTATTTTCAAGTAAAAATCCCTGGAAATACACTTACTAAAACAACTGGCTCCATAAATATAGCTACTGGAACTTTTAAACAAACAAAACAAACTACAAAAGGTTCCTGAGCGCAAGGTAAACCAAGAAAGGAAAAACCTACTTGAAGCTTCACAGGAGCTGATGGAAAAATTGACTCTATTATGAGCGTCCCCTGCAGAACGCTCCTTCGTGTCCGAACTTTTCCTGTACTTTCAACATCCCACCCACATGAGCTTCCAAAACTCCCAGAAAAATGACAGCACCCATCCTTTTTGCTCCGATACAAGTTTAGGTAGACCAGAATACGGTTCCAAAGTTGCAGTTTTTCACAGGCCTTCCCTACTTATCTTCATGTATTTGATAATTAAGTACTACTGAAACTACTAGAAGTACCAATAGACACAAAGTATTCTCAAAAGATATGAACTTATTTTCTTTGTGTTTTTTTTTTTCCCCCTTTTCAAAACAAGTAATTAAAAAAACTCCAAATGCCAAGATCAAAATTTAGAAGCATTGACACTACACAATTCTCCAAAGGACATCGGACTGACATGGAACTTTCTATATTTTTCCAGTCTCGACCTCAAGTCCTGAGAACAAGATAAAGAAAGCAGTAAAGCTTACCAGACACCGTTTCGCCATCCTTTCTCAATGTAAAATCACTGTATAGCATTAATATACACTTTCTTATCTCAGACATGTACAAGCTTCATCTTTGGAAAAACAGCTGTATATTTGAAGTCTATTCACTCTTCAAATGGTTATAGCACATACAGTCCTATTCTGTTGCTTACTTCTGTGCAAATATAATTTATAGCACAAATATATCATAATTGTGACACAAACCACCACACTGTCAGGTGACCCAAAAAAAAGAACAATGCACACAGGAATTTATATTGCTGATGTATAAACAGACTGAGACGTATTTCTGGCATTGCATAACACCTCCATCGCTGTTTGTTTTGACAAAATATAGTTGCTTTGAGTCCCATAAGCCGCCTAATAAAGACATGTCCCTTCTAGTTTTAACCTTCAACAGTAGACAATTTGTTATTTCCTCAAGCAGTTCAAAAGGAGAGAAACTATTTGCAACTTGATCATCTCCAAAAAAGTTTGAGTCGTCTCCTAATTTCTTCCTTGGCATTAGATGAACGTATAGAAAGAATTAAAGGTAAAAGAAAAATCCCGAGAAACTTTTCTACTTATCCAAAAAGATGAATTACTTATTCTGTAATTAAGGAGAAGATTGGAATATCCGAATGAAGTTCTGCTGTGCTTCTGGTTGCCATCAAAATAATAAATACCCAACTCTGAGGACTACAAGAATGGGACTCAGATTAAGCACTTCAGAGCACCTACAAGAATCAGTCAGAGAGTGCCATTTATCCTAGGTAAATATCCCCTGTTGATTAGAAAATACTGACAAACACCCGTACTCTATGCTGAACTGAAATGTTTACTGAAAAAAGTAACTTCCTGAACCAACTGAATCATTCCAAACATGACACTCTCATTGCCAGAAATAAATACTCTCAATAAAAAGCTAAAATAAGAGAAAGTAAGTTTGTTGTCATTCAGTAATACATTTTCTGGGTTTGGTTGTTTGTTTTTTTTTTTGTTCACAAACCTCATTATTTTTTAAAGCAATAGCATTTCTTCTATATCAACCTTCAGAACTGACCTTCAACCCTTAGTATTTTAGGGGCCGCAACATAAACATCCTTCCAAAAGTTGGACCAACTAGTGTTTAGCTGTCAAGCCTGTCCATTTCTGATGTCCGAGTTGACAGCCACTTGGTTACTTGTGAGATCTGGGTCCAGGAACGTTACAGCCTTCAGGGAACGGGTTCTCTTCATGTTTATTATAAGTGTAATTTATAGGTTCTACAGATAGTACATCACAAAGCAATAAACGTTACATGACAGGAAAGACAGTGTTTAACTTAGGGAAAAACTTGAAAGAAACAGAGGTAATCCCTGGAAGTCTATTAACGTAAGCCATTTATTAGGGATGCTCTACAGAGAACTGTAAGTTTGCTTGGAATTTGCTCAAGCAAAAAGATTTATTCCACAATAAAACACAACACCGCTCTTGAGTGCATAAGGAATCATGGATTACAGGCAACAACATGACCAGAAAGCTTATTTAAAGGATGAAACAATATAAAAAAAGAAACATATTTTAAATTCATCAAGGAAAATGCTATTAAATTGGTATTAAAGTAGTATCTTCTGGCAATACAAGGATGAAGATGCAACAGTTGCACCTTTAGGAACATCTCTGCCTGAACCATGCGAGTGGAATTTATCTGTTTAATCTCCAAGTAATATTTTGGTTTACTGTTAACATTCTGTTCTGTAGCCTGCATATCAAACAACCCACTCAAAACTCTGAGCAGCTGAAGAGAGCATGAGAAGAACAACTGGGGAAAGTCTAGGCCATCAGGGATGAGAAACCAACAGAGGCTGAGATAAGTTGCCATCATGTTATTTACACTACATATAAACCACAATTATTCCAAATGATGCATGCATGAAAATGCCAAATAAACAGTCTTAAACAAAACAATCAAAGAAAACCTAAATATCTAAGCTTAACAGGGTATTTCATAGCCACTTCATTTTAAACCTAAGGGTTTTACACAGCACACAACGACCAATATCCCCAATATATTTGGAAGTTCCTACCAAGCAAATTTTTGTACCTATGTCACACCAATTTAGTTCCGGGTTTTGATCTGTTGGCTCTTTTGGTTTGGTTTCTTTTTGGTGGTGGGGTTTTTTTTTAAGCTAACAGGCAGAATTATGAAATAGTTCCATGGTACTTACAGTTAAAACTGAAAAGAATTGACATGTTTTAATCATTAAATCCAGTCTTCCAAGCAAAGACGGTTACACA